CTGGTCCCCCCATGTGGCGTGCTGGAGCTGGCGGGAGGGCCCGGAGGCCGGGCTGCTTTCACCCAGGACACTGCCCTCCGAGGCAGCGCTGCTCAGTGGTTGGATCCCAGGCCTGGGAGCCGGGACTCCTCGTGCCCCGCCCCCCCCAAGCTGGGGCAGTCGCTGCCCCCAGGGGACGCTGCGTGTGTGGGCCCATTCACCCTGTTGCCCTCCGCAGCATCGTCTTCTGGTTCGGGGACTTGAACTTCCGCATCGAGAGCCTGGACATCCGCTTTGTGAAGTACGCCATCGCCAACAGCCTCCTCAGCCAGCTGTGGGAGAAGGACCAGGTGAGCGGTGGGCCGGGGTGTCCCGTGGGGGGCAGGCACTGGCTTCCTTCCCTGGTCCAGCGTGATCATCCCCCCCGCCATAGCGGCACTGAGTGGTCCTCCGAGATTCATAGATCTGGAAGGGACCTCGAGCGGCCACTGAGTCCCGTCCCCTGCCCTGCCGGCAGGACCAAGCCCCATCTAGACCTTCCCTGGTAGATGTCTACAGAATCCTAGAACTGGAAGGGACCTCGAGAGGTCATCAAGTCTACTTCCCTGCCCTCACAACAAGACCAAGCCCCATCTAGACCATCCCTGGTAGATGTCTACAGAATCCTAGAACTGGAAGGGACCTCGAGAGGTCATCAAGTCTACTTCCCTGCCCTCACAACAAGACCAAGCCCCATCTAGACCATCCCTGGTAGATGTCTACAGAATCCTAGAACTGGAAGGGACCTCGAGAGGTCATCAAGTCTACTTCCCTGCCCTCACAACAAGACCAAGCCCCATCTAGACCATCCCTGGTAGATGTCTACAGAATCCTAGAACAGGAAGGGACCTCAAGAGGTCATCAAGTCTACTCCCTTGCCCTCATGGCATGACCAAGCCCCATCTAGACCATTCCTGGTAGATGTCTACAGAATTGTAGAACAGGAAGGGACCTCAGGAGGTCATCAAATCTAATCCCTTGCCCTCACGGCACGACCAAGCCCCATCTGGACCATCCCTGGTAGACGTCTACAAAATCATAGGACACTAGAACTGGAAGGGACTTTGAGAGGTCATCAAGTCCCATTCTCTGCCCTCACGACAGGACCAACCACTGTCTAGACCATCCCTGGTAGATGTCTACAGAATCCTAGAACAGGAAGGGATCTGAAGAGGTCATCAAGTCCAGTTCCCTGTCCCGCCAGCACATCCAAGCCCCATCTAGACCATCCCTGGTAGATGTCTACGGAATCCTAGATCACTAGATCTGGAAGCGACCTCAAGAGGTCGTCAAGTCTACTCCCCTGCCCTCATGGCAGGACCAAGCCCCATCTAGACCATCCCTGGTCGATGTCTATCCAACCTGCTCTTCAATATCTCCAGCGATGGAGATTCCACAACCTCCCTTGGCAATTTATTCCCGTGTTTCATCGCCCGGATAGGGAGCTTTTCCCACGTCTACCTCCCTTGCTGCAATTGAAGCCCATTGCTTCTTGTTCTATCCTCCGAGGACCTCCATTTTCCCATTCTCCTTGGGACACCCTTTTAGATACTTGAAAAAGGCTATTACGTCCCCTCTCCGTCTTCTCTTTTCCGAACTAAACAAACCCAATTAGAACATAACATGAGAACGGCCAGATTGGGTCAGACCAAAGGTCCATCCAGCCCAGTATCTTGTCTGCCGACAGTGGCCAGCACCAGATGCCCCAGAGGGAGGGAACACAACAGGTGATCGTCACATGGTCCCTCTCCTGTCATCCATTTGCAGACAAACAGAGGCTAGGAACACCATTCCTACCCATCCTAATAGCCATGGATGGACCTACCCTCCATGAATCTATCTAGCTCTTTTTCGAACCCTGTTCAAGTCCTAGTTTTCGCCACATCCTCCGGCAAGGAGTTCCGCAGGTTAACGGGAACTCTTCCAGCCTTCCCTCGCAGCTCCCCTTTCCTCGACCTTTCCTCCTTTGTTTGTTGCTCTTCTTTGGACCTTCCCCACCTCTTTCCTGAAACGCGGTGCCCAGAACTGGACGCAAGACTCCAGCTGAGGCTGAATCCGGGCGGAGTAGAGTAGAAGAACGGCTCGAATGCATCCCAGAATCCCTTTTTTTTTTTTTTGCAACCGGGTCCCACGTGGGGCCCGCTAGGGCTGGAGGGAGGGGAGAGGCGTTCGGAAAACGGTGGGGGTCTGCGGTGTTCGGAAAGACGTGGGAGCCGAGGGGAGGCGGGGCTTTAGATCTGCTGCCCCATTGCGGCCTGAGCAGCTCAGAGTTGCCAGGAGGCGGGTGACGGGCACAGGAGTGGCAAGGCGCAACTACGAACTTGCGCTGGGGACAAAGTCCTGAGCTTAGTGCATGGGATGGGTCGGTCTTCGAGGGAAGGCCAGGGAACGCCTCCCCTGGGTCCTAGTGCTCACCCTGGCCTCTCGTCAATTTCTTCCTGAAGGCTCCGGCAGCCGTTAACGTAAGTGAAAAGCCTTCCAGCGTGCCAGACCTATTAGCATAACGTTGAACCCGTGACCCAGCCGCCACCGGGTAATGAACCCACGTGCCGAGCCTTGGTCTGACTCGCAAAACCAGTCGGGCGTTCCGTCGGCAGGGCCTCCGTGGCAATTTGCCGCGCATCGGTCGTTCCGGTGTTTCTGAATCCCGTCGGCAGGGCCTCCGTGGCAATTTGCCGCGCATCGGTCGTTCCGGTGTTTCTGAATCCCGTCGGCAGGGCCTCCGTGGCAATTTGCCGCGCATCGGTCGTTCCGGTGTTTCTGAATCCCGTCGGCAGGGCCTCCGTGGCAATTTGCCGCGCATCGGTCGTTCCAGCCGCGTCTAAACCGCTCCGGTCCGCGTCGCCGCCGCGCGTAGGAATGGATACAATATACGGCCCTCCCGTTCCTCGCTCTACCGGCGCGCAAAGAAACGCCAGCGCAATTTGCGTAAATGGAAGTCCGCCACGGGCGGGGGAAAAATATTCCCCGTGTTCAGGTGTTTCGCTGGAAGTCCAATTTTTGGGGGGCCGTATCTTGGACTTATCGCGAGGATGGTCTAAGCCCCTCCCCCCCCCCAGCTTGCTGGAGTGGGGGGAGGTTGGAGCATCCCGGGCAGACTTCAAAGGGCAATGCCTACTCTGCTCTTAAAAGGGCAACTTTTTTTTTTTTTTTTTTGGCTGAACAAGTGTTGCTGCAAAAAAAATTTTTTTGGGGGTGGGGGGCGTGAAGGTTTCTCAAAAATCAAAAAGGGGATTGATGCCGAAAAGTTTGGGATCCACTGGGCTGGACCAATTTTAATTCCTATAGTCCAGGGCTCTTCACCTCTGAAAGTGCGGCTCGCGAAGCCCCCCCCCCCCAACCTCCGCAGC